GGCCATATATTGCAGGGTTCCATTTCTACACCACCCCAAGACTTGGCAGATCATACGGACAGAACACTGGTCAGTGGTCACCGGGGGCTGGGGAGGGGAAGTGGGGAACACAGATACGAGGTTCCCCTTTGGGGTTTGGGACCAGAGCAAGGGGCTGGCTACACAACATCATGAATGCACTGCATGTCGCTGAACTACTCACTCTAAAATGGTTTGTGTATTTAACCTCAATAAGAAAAATTGAAAAGAGAAAAGAAAGGTCAGTTGGTGGCTAGAACAACCTCACGCAGGACTCCAGGACTCCGGTCCTTCAAGCCAGGTGAGTTCCTGTGACAGGGGCCATCTGGGCCCTAGCGGTAGGGGAAGGTGACTGGGGAAGCCACTGGCAACTTGACCTCACAACCAAGGGCAGAATGAGGCCGGACGCATCTTACTCTCCCCTCCTTGCTGGGTGTATTGGAGCTCTCCAGAGAAACAGAACACGTAGACTATAAGGGGGGCGTTGTTGGGGAATCGGCTCTGTAGTGATGAAGGCCAAGAATCCTGCGTTCTGCCGTCCGCAAGCTTGGCCTCAGGGAAGCCAGTGGTGTGTTCCAGCCTAAATCCAAAGCCTGAGGACCAGAGAAGCCAGGGCCCTCAGAGGCCGGAGACCCGGCAAGTCTGATGTCCAAGGGCAGGAGTGAGAGGGCGAACTCACACCTCCCCTGCCTGTTCCCTGGGCCCTCAGTGTACTGGATGACGCCAGCCATATTTGTGGAGCCGAATCACCTTTACTCCGTCCACCAACTCCAATGCAAATGTCTCCTCGGAGTACCCTCGCAGGTACACCCGGAGATTGCGCTGTCCCCACTGTCCGGCATTCCGGAAGTGGGTTGCGTTGATATCCACAGTGAACCATCACCCTGGGCGTGATGTGTGTGTACATTTTAATTCATTCCTTCCTCCTCCCGTCCGCCTTCTAGTAAAGGGGGGGCCACGTCACACTTCGAGTTCACACATCGCTTCCAAACAGTGAGCCGAGCTGAGGAACAGCGCTCGCCGGCGGATTCTGGGATGGAGCTGGAGGCCTTGGTGTGGAGACCTTGGGGAAGGACACACACGTCCTCACTTCTGTGCAAAGGCCGTCTGTCAAGAGCTTGGTGCTGCTCCTGCTGTGTGCTGCTCAGGCCTGCATGGGGGCTGGGGCTCAGGACAGCCTGTGACCCCCAGCAGTGGGGGTGGACAGTGGTGTGAGTTCTGCCAGTCCAAAGTGGAAGGTGTGACTTGAGGGTAGCTCTGCCAGTCAGATGCGCCAGGTGAGAGGAGCACAGGGCAGATGCTGTCACCCAGGCACGGCGCTCTGTGCAGGTGCAGAGGGTGTAGGTTTGGGCGCAGCAGGCAGCTTCCTGGGTGCAGCCTCTGGGCTCCTAGTCCTCAGAGCCTGGCAGCCACACCCCTGGGCCAGGTCCTGCAGGGTGGCTTAGGGTTCCGTTGTTCCCGGCTACAGACCCTGGATCTTGAGTGTGTCTGGGGCTCCCCAGAAGCTTTAGTCAGGGCCTTCTCAGTCAGTTGCTTTCCACTTACGTTAGCTACAGGGACTCTGTTGCTTGCAAGCACGCAGGCGTGGTTCTCCCAAAGGCCACGTGTGCCCAGCTCTGAGTGTGGGGTTCAGGACCATGGCCTTGGGACCTGGTAGGCCTGGGTTCAAGTCCTGCTCCACTACTTTCTGCCACGTGCAATGGCTTTCCTTCTGTGACCTCCACATCCTCAGGGCCTCAGAAGCCGGTGGGCTGAGGAGTGGCTCTCAGGGTCCCATGTGGAGGTCGCAGGGGCATAGGGACAGACCGGGCTGCAGGGCTCTCTGGAGCCTTGTCCAGCGGGACTCAGCTGGAGCGAGGAACTGAGACACCAAGGCACGAGAGGAGGACACCCCCACCAAGTCTTGGGCCTAAGGCTGTGGTCTGTGGGGACCAAGCAGCCTCAGCACGCCCGGCTCACACGAGCGCTGGGGCACCACCTTTGCTCCTCGTTGCTGCCCTGCCCCTACCTTGGGAAGCAGCACCCCCGCCTGCACGCTGGCAGCCAGGCCCTTGGGGACTCAGGGCCTAGCGCTAGAAAGGAGGTTGTACCCACACTTTCAGCCACACTGGGGTGCGTTTCCACACTCCTTGAAGTGGAGCCTGCATGGAGCTTTCAGGGATGAACTCCAGGCAGAGCGTCCCATCACTGCACCCTCCCTCCGCCTGGCTCTGGCCCCTCTGAGGCCACCCGCAGTGCTCCGGAGCCACCAGGCAAAGCCATGTGAGCCTCCACGCTGAACACGGCCGTCCTGGGGCCTCGGCAGAGCCAGGGTGCAGCCCCACCTGCCTCTCACACTAGCCACAGCTCTGCAGAGCCAGGTGCTGGGGCGGGGGCCCCGCAGGGCTGAGCACGTGCACTAGGGGGTCCAGTCCCCATCCCAGGCTCTGGTGCTCATAGAAATCCCCATGGCTTCCTGTGGGCACGGCCTTCAGGGCTGTGAGCCTGGCAGCCCAGGAGCCTGCCTGCTGCCTGAAGCTCCGCCCCTGGCTCTGGCGCTCCCCAAAGCCCTGCCTCCCCTGACAAGAGGGACCGCGGTCTGCGGGTGCTCTGTGAGGTCTGCACCCTCCAGCTCCAGCCACTGGGTTTCTTGCTGCCCACACTCAGGGCAACAGGAGATAAAGACGAGGCAGGGCCGAGGGCCGGGACTGGTAGCGACTTTATTCCCTCCCGCTCTTGTTCACGTGCCGCTGTCACCGTGCCTGCGGCTGTGGGGCACCCACACAGGGCCCACCCACCTGCACGATGCCTCTGTGTCTCCAAGCTCTGTGCAGGGCACCGTGGGGGCTGGGCAGCATGAGCCAGGGCCCCCATCACGCTGGCCAGGGAGCCGGAGAGGGGCAGAGACAGACTGCAGACCCGAGGCTGGTGCACCCGGCTGGAGAGAGGGTGCCAGCAGGACTCTGGAGAGGACGACCGAGCCCCTCTGCCCCAGCTCTGAAAAGCAGGTGCTCTGCCTCAGCCTCCCACTCCAATAACCGGGTGCTCACTCGCTTCTTTAAACAAACCATGCAAGCTGGCCAGACAAGAGCACCATCCACACGGCGCTGCAAGTTCTGTGACTGCTTCCAGCAGCAATGGAAAGGAGCCTGAGGCGAGGTACACGCTTAGCACCAGGGCCGGGGCCTCCCAGGACGGGGGGCTGCACCACCTCCCGGCACAGCAACCATCCTCACTGCGGCCCGTGGCCCGGACCCCACTCCCTGCCCCGTCAGGGCGACACACGGGAACAGAGAGCCCGGCTCCCACACCCACGCGACCTCTGCTTGCTGAAGTGAGGCTGCCCAGCCCCCCGGGGAGAGCCTGGGGCCAGGGATGGGTCGGGGGAGTTCCGGGGTTCCTGCCTACAGCCCACGAAGCAAGATCAGATTTTTAGAAAAAGAGCCCTAAAGAGCTTCAGGCACTGAGGCCGGAGGTTTGAGCTAGCGAGTGGGAGAGACGGGACCAGAGGACGCCACAGAAGCCCAGGGAAGCCCGGAGACCAAAGGGTGCAGAGGAGGAAAGGCTCCGTCCAGGGGCAGCCTACAGGATGCCGGAACCCCAGCCTTGGGCTCCGTGGGCTGTAGGGCCACAGGGACACCTTCCTTCCCTGGGGGACCCACAGGATACAGGTGCCTGGGGGTCACTGGCTCCCTCTCCCGCCCCAAGCCTGGACAGCCCCTTACACCAAGAGCTTGGGATCGGTCTTCAAGTCACTCAGGTACCTGGGGCCTGCCCACATCTGTAGAGAATAAAGTGCTTTGTTTATTGATGATTAAAATGTCCCCAGCCCTCTGCCCCAGTGCTGAGGGTTCAGAGTCCCCAGGCCCAGGCCTCTTCCCACACCTGCCGTGCTTGGAAGGTGGTAGTGGGGGGGAGAGGCGGGGTGTAAGGTGCAAAGAGTATAACAAACAAAACTGCATGGACACGACAGGAAGAGCTTAGCTAGGAGATGTGTAGCTTATGGAACCTTCTCGCCCTTCTCGGCAGGAATGAAGACGTTAAATGACAACAGAAAAGGCTATCCTATTAGTAGTGCTGGCCTCCAGGGTTCAGCCCTGCCCGCAGGCCGGACGCCACCCCCCCGGGGCCTGGACATGCAGCTCCCTCGCAGACAGGGCGCGGGCACTGCCCCATCCCTCTGGTGAGGCCCGGGAGGGACGGGAGGAAGGTGGGCTGGGGGCGGAGGCGCAGCATCTCTGGGTGTGGGGTGCAGCCTTGGTGGCTGGCGGAGGCCAGGTGCTCTGTGCATAGCCGCCCCGGCCCCGCCCCACTGTAGCACCTTGGATCCCTCAAGGCTGCCGGAGCCGAGCCTCCTCCTGGGCGCTGCCCCTGAGGTTGCACCAGTCGCAGCCCTGGGGCTAGCACTGGGGGAGTCACGCACCTGTTGCCCAGGGCGTCGCCGCTGTACAGGGACCCGGCAGCTTCCGCAGCCCTCATGGCAGCTGGTGCAGGCTGGGGACCCCTCTGCCAGCTGGCAGGGGTATCAAGGAGCAGGGTAAACCCTTGGGGGCCAGCCCCATCTGCCCGCTCCCACAGAGCTAGGTGGCCCTCTTGGCCCCAGACACTCCAGGCCCCAGGGCCCCAGGGTCCAGCTTGAGCCCTGCTTCTGTGTCCACGGCCTTCAAATCGGCCCACAACTCCTCCAAGGGGCTGGACCTCCAACTCCCCCAAACCCTGCAGGAGACGTGAGAAAGGCCTGGCAAAGGTGAGGGGGCTGCTCCCCCAACCCGTGGCCAACAGCACCCCTCACCCGGAGGGCTGCTGCAAACCTCTTCCTCTACCTCCACTTCCAAAAAGAAATTAAACAAAGGAGTCAAGGCTTCCAGGAGTGGCAGAGAGGGCAAGGGGTCCCCACGGGCCCAGGTGGCCTGATCTCAGTGGTGCGTGCCAGGCCCTGCAGGGAAGGGTGGTGGGCCGAGCCCGGGGGCCTGCGTGGAGGCGGCGGCGGCGGGCAGGCTCACGCGGAAGCACTTCTCCTTGTGCGCCTTGAGCATGTTGGAGAAGCGGAAGCGCTGGCCGCACACGTCGCACGGGTAGGGCTTCTCGCCGGTGTGCGTGCGCCGGTGCCGCTTCATGTTGGGCCGGCTGGTGAAGCTCTTGCCGCAGATCTCGCAGATGAAGGGCTTCTCTCCTGCGGGCGACGCACACGGTCACGGTAACTGCGGGGCGAACCCCCAGCCCGAAGCGGCGCCGCAGATCCCGGCGGCACACGCACTCCTCGCACACGACCCGCGGCAGGGCGGCGCGGAGCGCGGCGGGTCCGCAGTGTGCGCTGGCCTCAGGTCTCTGCGCTAGAAGCGCTTCCCGGCCCTCGCCGCTGCCCCTTCCCTGACCCTTCCAGTCGGGGTCGCCCTGCGCTGAGTCTCCGCACCAGGCTGGGCCAGTCGCTTTCCCGCCACTGACCACACGAGCCGGAGAGTGTATCCGGATTTTACCCGAGGCTCCGAGCGTGGGCGGACAGACCGTGCCTCCGACGCGGACCCGCAGCGCCCAGCCCTCCCACGTGCGCTGCGCAGGCGCCACGGAGTGCGTTTTCTTACTTCTCTCCACTCTGCGACCCCTTAGGACTGGGACCACCCTCCGCCCCGCACTCTTTCCTCTGCTTCCTCATCGAAGGAGGAAACTGACACTTTCTGCTGCCTCTCACCCAGGGAAGGAAGCTGGGGCTCCCTAACTTCTCGCAGAGACTGGACTGAGGGGTCCGCAGGGGCCGCGTTCTCCCCATCAGGACCAGAACTGGAAGTGGTCCCGGCCACCCTGTTTCTCTTATGTCTCTGCTTCCCATTATTCCGCCCCGCACTGTGCTGCTCTGCATGTGACTCGCACCCCTCTTTCTGGATGCGGGCAGAGCCATTTCCTCCAGTCATCTTAAAGACCAAACTCAATGTTAAACAGCACTGATTAAATCAATTATGAGCTGGGCATGGCGGCACACGCCTGCAATCGCAGGAGGATCACTGGGTTTGTGGCCAGCCTGGGCTACAGAGTGAGTTTGAAGCCATCCTGAACTACACGTGGTGAGACTGCCTCAAAAACCCAAAACAAGCCGGGTGTGGTGGCGCACACCTGTAATCCCAGCACTTGAGAGGCTGAGGCAAAGGGCTGGTTACAAGTTCCAGACCAGCCTGGGCTACAAAGTGAGCTCAAGGTCAGTCTGAACTGCATAGCAAGACCCTGTCTCAAAAAGACAAAAAACAAACAAAAAACCCAAAACAAACAAAAATACCATAAATCAATTATGGTATATACATTAATGGAAAATGTCACTGAAAACACTGTAAGATACAGAAATGTAATTATTAACATGAAAATCTATAACCTATAAAGATTATCTGTAATCTAGGAAGTAAAACAAGCAAGCTATAAAATGTATCTACCTTTAAAATATGCATAGGAAATACACAGATAGAATACTACAAATGATACTAATGACAACCTTTAGGTAATGGGATTATGGGTGATTTTTACTTTATATATTTTATTTTATTTTGGTTTTGGTGTCTTTTTGAGACAGCGTCTCGCTAAGCAGTTCAGGCTGGCCTTGAGCTCACTTTGTAGCCCAGGCTGGTCTGGAACTTGCAATGATCCTCCTGCCTCAGCCTCCCAAGTGCGGGGATTACAGGCATGGGCCACCATGCCTGGCTTCCCTGAGCATTTTGAAGGTGCAGTGTACTCACTCTCCGAACATTCAATGAATAACGAGCATTTAACTTGTGCTCACTCCAGTCCTGATCTCTCTCATCATCTCTCACTTACAGTCTCCTAGGCTCTAAGGGCTCAGCTATAGGAAGTCCCCGAACAATGAGACCTAGCCTCCACGAATCCACGATTCAGATTAAAGTTGGTTCCTTTACTGTGGAATAACCTTTTACTCCCTTGCTGTGCTACCAAATTCCCCACCTTTGTCGCTCCACTCCTTCACAGGCATAAACCCACAGCCCTGCCTACCACTAACTCTCGTTATTCATTGAGCCTCAGCTCCTAATTGTGCTTGCTGGTGACGTTAAGGTTCCTGTGAACCCTCGAGGCAGGGTTATAATGAGGCTGATCCAAGAAAGCATAAAAAGAGCATTTGAAGTGAACTACCTGTGCAGGGTCCCCCCGAGGGAAGAGCTGGGAAATGGGTGGCTAGAAGGCCCTGAGCGGCTAAGTTCATCCAGGGGACAAGAAAGGCACAGAGCTGACTAGTTCTAGAGACTCACCTAACAGGTAAAGCTGACCTCACTGTGCAGAAAGTATGGTGCGGAGCCTGGGGAAAGCATGCTGGAAGTGAAGACGGACTGCAGGGAGCGGGGCAGGGGGCAGGACTGCGGCTGGCTGTCATCCGCACTATTCCCAGAAAGGACAGCTCCGGCCCACAGACCTAGCATGGACACCCCTGGGCAGCCCCAGAAGCCCACAGATCTAGAGCTAAAAATTCCCTTCTTGAGCTTTAAAGCCACTCTTCAAACTGCTTCCTGTGTGTCTCTTCCAGAATGTCCCATGGTCATCACAAAACCAGCAAACATAACATTAAGTTAGGGGCTGGGGATTTAGCTCAGCGGCAAAGCGCCTGCCTGGCAAGCGCAAGGTCGTGAGTTCGTTTCCTGTACCGGAGAAAAAACAAAAAAAACAAAAAACAAAAAAAAAACATTAAGTTAAACCTGCTCCTCTCTCCACTGCTCCGACTTTGAAAACGGCAGAATGCCCAAAGCTGATGCTGGGCCTTGGCTCTTCCCTCCTGCACCATCAGCAGCTGGCAGTCACCGGGCTCACCGGGCACTGCCTTGTCTGCGGCTGCCGTTCCACCCTCTGCTGTTACTGTAGCTCACGTCCTCACAGCTGCTCACCACGATCTCACAGCATCCACCCGGCTAGTTTCACCCTCTCTGTTCCCGCCCTCACCCTTCAGTCTGCTCTGCACACTGCAGCCAGGGAGCATAGCTGTAATCCCAACTCTGGGGGAGGCTGAGGCAGGAGGAGCCCAGCCTGGGCAACTACGCAACTTAGTGAGAACTTGTTTCGAGAAAAAAGATAAAAAGGCTGAGAATGTAGCTCAGTGGGAGTGCTTTGGGTTCAGTCCCAGCACTGGGGAACAAAAAGATGTGTTGTATAACAGACTGCTTAAAACTGTTCCCTTCCTACCGCTCTTCAAGTCCAAAAATTCTCACATGGCTTCAGGGGCTCCCTGTGATCTGACCACTGCTTGTGCCTCTCCACCGTCTTGCCCTCGCACACCCGCACCCGGCTCCCGCGCACCGACTTCGCTCCCCATCCTCACTCAGCTCGCGGGCCACTGCGGCTGCCTTGCTTGGAGGCCCTCGCTGGACGAGCAGCTTGTGGGCCGAGGCCTAGCTCAGTCGTGCGAACTGAAGTAGACTTGTTTACTGGGCTTCTTAGTAAATACTTGTACATTAAATATTTGTTAATTTTTTCTTTTTTTTTACTATCAGGATCGAGATCACGACCTCACGCTTGCCAGCAGGCGCTATGCCGCTGAGCTACATCCCTGGTCAAATATTTGTTAATTCTAAGCCATGCATCTCCCCGGACATTTTAACGCTCCCGAAAACTGGCACGTCCCTTCTACTCAGTGGCATGTCCTTGTTTGATTGAAAACATTTTCTTAGCAGGATGTAAGTCCAGCTTGTCTCACAACTGGTGGATTTCTGACTTCATTCAGTTACCATCCTCTGCTCTAATTCTCTGTCCCTGACAGTCCTCTCGTTATGATTTAGCTTCTAATTTAGATGTTTCCTTAGGCAGAGAATATGCTGAGCGAGGAACACTGAGAGTTCCAAAGCACTGGTCATTCACAAAGTAATCAAGTGGCAGTTTGCGTTCATGTCACCAGCAGCCCTCAGCCCCTGGTCTGCCTGAGCACCCTGGAGGGTGCTGAAGCCGAGAACCAGGCCCTAGGGTGGTGTACCTCCCGCTCCCGGCGTCCTCCACAGCACCCCTCTCCGTGACCTGCTGCGTGGAAGTGGCATCACCGCGTGCGTGCTCTGCACTCAGACCGCCCTGGACAGGTCACTTAATCTCTGGGCCTCCGTTTCCTCATCTGAAAGGAAAGCTAACCGCCTGCCTAGCAGGCTACTGTGGTACAAAGCACAAGTGCTCGGAACAGCATCTGGCAACGAGAGGCATGAAGGACACCTGTGGTGCTGTTATCATCACGTCTCCATGAACGTGCATCAGCACACAGGCCCCCTGAGGTGGAAACCAGGCTTCGCCCTTGTGTCCCCAGGCACTCGGCCGTGCCTGATGCAAGGACACGAGGGAAGCACCTGACTGTGAACTCACCCTGCGACTACACTGTCCTAGGAGACCCTGTCTGGTGGCCGGTCCGCTTCCCTAGACAAGCTGTGTCTCACTTTTAACTACAAAGGTATCTTCACAATCAGTGAAATCTCCACAGCGGCCTTAATCCGTGGATATACTCTCATCTCTAAGTATGAACCCATGCTTTTCTTCTCTAAGTCCGTTTTTCTTCTGGACCCTCTCAGATACTAGTACCATCTTTTTTTGTTTTGTTTTTTGTTGGTTTTTGAGACAGGATCTCTCCACATAGTTCAGGCTGGCCTCAAACTCATTATGTAGCTCAGGCTGGTCTTGAACTTGCAGTGATCCTTCATCAGCCTCCCTGGTACTGGGATCACAGGTATGCAGAGCCATGCCTGGCTGTTTCCCTTTCTTAATGAGAAAAATAATAGTATAAGTGAATCATATTCTATGAGAAGAAACGAAATGTCCAGTTCGCCTAGTCAATCAAACTATATTTAACAGAAAGCTTTACTCAATAACTAAAACCACAAAATATATACTTTGGCTTTATATTATGGATAAATAAGGGTCCAAAAGAAAAAAAAAGAAAAAGGACAAAAGGTAAGAAAGAAATGCAGAAGGGGAAGGAGGGAGCGGGGAGGAGGATGCACAGGAAGACTAGGTGCGAAGACAGAACGTGGAGGCACTCATTATTAACACGTGTGCGGGGCGCTGTGTGAATGTAACACAACTTAGGCTTTAAAAAGGGAAAACAATGTACATTCTATCTAGTTCCACAGTGTACTGCCAAGCACCACCAACAACGGAACAGTTCTCCTAGAGACTCCGTTAGAACCAAGAAGCCACCCAAGGCCGCTGGATTACGAGAGAGCATCTTTGAAGTTCTCTGCTAGTTCCCGCTCTCCTCTGAGCCATGTCTTCAGCGTTATCACTGCTGTCTGAGGTCTACCACGGCTAACTAAACCCAGCTCTGGGTGGGTGGGGCAGGAAACTATCAAGCAGGCATGTTTCTTTGGACTTTAACACAGCAATGGGAACCAAAGAGACCCGGCCATGGGCAGAACTTGCTCACCACTAGTTAAGCAAGAAGAACAGCAGGGTAAGCAAGGCGACCCCCTACGCTTCCTTGTAGCTCTGCACACCTGCAGTCCTACGATTAGGTCTGATATAGAGACTTAAAAATGGTTCACACTGTTCACTTTGTGCAAGGACGGCGAATTCCAGCACATCAAGTACAGGCTGTGGACCGTGACTGTGTTTCTAGGGGAGCTGTTCCTTTAGCCGGCCCTCTGGAACCTGGGTAAGAGAACTCAGATCCATGCTACGAGCACACACCCCTGAAAACACCAGGGTTAACATTTATGTAACCTCTCATAATGTACTATTCCTGAAAGCTGTGGATTTTGGTAAATCAAATCCAATCAAAACAAACTTTATTTTGAAACAGGATCTCATTATGTAATTGAGGCTGGCCTTGAACTCATGTGTAACCCAGGATAGTCTCAAACTTGTGGTGATCTTTCTACCTCAGCCTCCTAAGTGCTGAGATTACTGATGTGCGCCAACATACGGCCAAAAAAACCCTTTAAGCATATCGAGAGTGTTCTATTTAAAGCAGTGTGCTCCATCTTTAAAAGGCCCAGAACCTTCAGAAAAATAGTGAATGCGTATGTATAAAACAAGAGTCCAGGAGCTCCTGGACCCAAGAAAGAGCCACGATCTTAAAGACACCACAGTTAGAAGGCATTCAAAAAACCCTTTTAAAAATGAAGGTAGGAAAGCCTAATTTTTCAGCATTATAAATCTCTGTTCTTGAATAAGGTTTAAAGTGGAATTTTCAGTGAGATGCCAACTGGGGTTTAGATTTTTAACAGACAGAGCCGCAGATGGTTCCCAGCAAGACGGATGTGCGCACCCGAGAAGCACTTACCCGTGTGCGTCTTCATGTGCTCATCGAAGTACTGCTTCATGTTGAAGTCCTTGCCGCACCACTGGCACATGAACTGCTTGTGCCCAATGTGGATGCTCATGTGCGAGCGCAGCTGGTACTTGTACTGGAACCGCTCGTCACAGTTCTGCAGGGGACACAGTGGCGAGGGCTGGACGCCAAGCTCGGAGGCCTCACCTGCGCCCGCCCTGACAGTCTCTGCTGCGAGTCTGTCTGTCACCCCCAAACAGAGCCTGCTGCGTCAGCTGCCGCCTTCACTCTGTTTCTGTAGCCGAGTTGTGAGTAAAAGGGAAATTTCCCCCGTAACTATCACTGGAGCACATTCAACTTCTGAGTCACCGAGACAGAAAAGCCAGTCGGTGCATGCCGTTGCCCAGTTACCCTAGGGGAGCTGGCCGTGAGCTAGACGGGACAGCACTCTTCCTAGTGAGGGCACGCGCCGTGCGCAGCGCATCGCGTGGGAAGCTGGTGGCCTGCGCCCTGGACAGCCGCAGCCCCGCCTGGCCTGTGCGGGGCCGGCCCTTACCTCACATCTGAAGGGCTTCTCTCCAGAGTGCTGCAGGGAGTGCACCTTGAGTGACATGCTGCGTTTGAATGACTTCCCGCAGGTCTCACATGTGAACGGCATGTCTTTCGTGTGTGCTGCAACACAGAATGCCTTACACTCAGAATGGTTCCACCAGAAAGCTCAGACTGGAGAGACAGATGTCAGCCTGTAAGGCAGTTATACTTTAATGTACTGCAGGGGAAAATAAATAACAACGCTGGCAAGAAATCTGCATGGGGAGACCGTACCATCCAGTGCACGCCGGGAACATGCTGCACTCGGTCTCGACCCGCCAAAACTGATTAAAGTACGGCCGCGTCTCGCATCCTGCCCTGTCCAGCACGTAAGGTGCCCTGATGAACGGGGCAACTACGGGCGTGAGAAGGAAGAAGCAGGAAAGACTTACCGACCATGTGTTTCCGCACGTGAGCCATGGTGTAGAATTTCTTCTCACAAATCTCACAGGCAAATTTCTTTTCTGCATATCCATGTACAATCTTGATATGCTCATGAAGGGACCAGAGTTTCTTGAAGGATTTGTTACAGGACACACACTAAGCAGGATAAACAGAAATAATCTTTATTTACTGGGCCTTGCAGAGAGCCATCCTTGCCTGGCAGATGCACGGACTTCAGACTCATGGTACAGGGCCGGAACCCAGACACACGCTATTCCCCCGTGGGCCCAGAACCAACACCCACATGTGAATGTTCTACTTTTTAAGCTGCACCTTTGAGAGACCCATTGGGAGTATGAAAACAGTGGCAAAAACTCAGTGAAGAAGTGGCAGAAAGTCCCACTAAGATCAAAGAACTGACTGCTAATATCACATTAGTATCGTTCCTACGGAAAAAACCCTTCAAGTGCATTTAACATATGGATTATCAAGTGCGGTCTCTACACATGGGTCATCCTGCAATGAACAGGTGCTTACCGGAGAACACAAGCTAATTTTAAGTGACATAAACAAAGGCAAGACAGAACAATACACAGTAATGGTCAGATCCGCAGGAATATAAGTATGTTTTCACACCTCAGAAAATGCACTTGGAGTCTTCCTTAAGACACATGATTGAGATTTTATTATGTGCTCTTGTATTTCATCTACTTGTTCATGGAAACACTCCCCTCTGGCCGAAGGTAACACAACCACTAGGCTGTTAGGGCCGCTCTCCCTTTACCTGCAGCCCGTCCCGATCTTCCTCACACGCATCGCAGAACGACAGGTCACACTGCTACAAATCATTAACCGCCTGGAAAGTCAGGCAGAAAGTGCACCAAATAAAGTATTTCTGGTTAAAGCAGAACAATACACACAAGTTCTAGGTAACCGTCAGACTCTGATATGCGAGGGAAGCAGTCAGTGTGCTCTGTGAATCAAGACCTACAGACCTCGCTGTCACTGGGGAGCAGAAGCTCTGAGGAGAGTGACAGCCTCGGCTGGGCGGGCTGACGCGGCTCTTGAGGAGGGCCCAGGGCCACTGTCCCTCTGCGCCATGCTGCGGGGCAGGCAGGGCTGTACTTCCTGCTGGTTAGTAGGTCATCAGTACAAGGCCCAGCGTTCTTTAGGAATGTGACAGTTCACTTGACAGAATCCACACAACAGTAACACGGGTTTAAACACAGGAGGAGGAACGGTGAGTAGGTCGAAAGGGATTTGTTAAATGTTTTCTGGAATTTAATGCAAATTTAAGTTTAAAAAAATCCCTAGTCTATATAGAGATAAAGACCTAGAGCCCTTTTTCAGGACTGAATTGTTGGGAGTCAAGAAAGGCCCCTAGGGAGCAGCACCGCGCCACCCGCCTCGGCTGGCCTCAGCGTCGGCAGCTGGGAGGGCGCTGGCGGCTGTGGAGGGGAAGGGTGCCGGCGCCCAGCCTCCTCACCCAGCGCGCCGAGCTCCAGTCACAGCCCGTAAAGTGAAAGCAGTGTTTTTTGTTTGTCTGTGTTTTTTTGAGACAGGGTCTTGCTATGTAGTTCAGGCTGGCCACCATGCCTGGCAGCAGTGGGTTTTAACAAAGGTAATTTGTATCTTTAAAAAAAAAAATCTCTTCAAAGCAAAGGAATGATCTCAGTGGATGATTAAAAGCTACCACCAATATTAGCAACACTCAAAAAAAGGGAAGAAAAGGAAAAATTAAAAGCTACCACCAATATTAGCAACACTCAAAAAAACAAAGACAATTTGTCCTTTAAAAGAAGGTTGAATATGGTACAAAACATTTCTACCGTACACATCTTACGGAGACGTCCACAGACTTACCTTTTGTGAACATCATTAACAGGTAAACACACGCAACCCCCCGAGCCGCAATCCACTCAGCACGGTGTGCTCACACCTCTCACCCTATCCCAGGGCAGGCCTCTCAGCACGGCAGCCTGGTTGAACACCTTGTTCTGTTACCTTAACAACACTGCAGGGGGGCACAGGTAACCCTACTGCCAGGAGGGCAACATCTCAGCTCGGCCTCGGTTACCGTCTGCATACTGCCTTGGGCTCAGCCTCTTGACAATTTAGTGTAGTCAGCGCTCCACTGGCAAAAGCACACTCACTCCTGGAGGTCTTCCATTTCCACCGGTCTGGCTCCTTCTGGCTTTGTCCCCATCAGCTGCACTAGACTCTGGCATCCTTTTAAATAGAAAGGAGCCTTTCTCTACTCCTGCCTTTCACTCGGGGTCTCCCACCTCACCAGAAGATGCCAGAATGAATTCTATCACGCGTCCTACAACAGCGAATCTCAGTGCAAAGTCGCTGCTGACCGTACGTCCTGGTCAGTCATCTCTACCAGATCCCCCTTCCAGCTGCCCGGCTCCCACTAGTCCAGCGTCAGTTACTGTACATTAATGCTCTGCAAATACCGGGGTAAGCCTTGGTTCGGAAAAGACCCAGGCAGGAGCTTCTAAAATGACAAACTGGTGAACTCTGTCCCTTCACTCTAGCGTACTTATTCTCTTGGGCAGAACCAGATGAATCTCAACAGCCAGGGTGTATCCTGGAAAGTGTGCCCTCTCGGTGGTGAGACCTACCTGGATGTTTTTTTCACAGTCTGTTTGCTGGTGAAGGGACAGCTCACTTTCCAGGACAAACTTCTTGCCACACTTATCACAGATCTGCATGCGCCTGTGAGTAACGTTCATGTGCTTCTCCAGGTACCAGCGAGTATTAAACACCCTGGGGCACTTCTCACAGGTCAGAGTCTCTTTCTCTTCACACTTAGCTTTCTGGACTGGCGCCTTGGGCTCTTTGGCCGCCCGCTTCTTACGCTTAGGTGGCTCTACACTCTTCCTACGCCCTCTCGTGGTTCTGGGAGAAGGGGAAGTGGCAGCTGCAGCGACAGAGGCCGCTCTCCGCGTTCGCCTTTGGGTAACGCTGACTTTCTCCACTATCTTCTCCTTTTTCTTCTGCCTTTCGTTCTCTCCGTAATCATTGCTGTCATCTGTGGCCTCTTCCTCACTCTCTTCCTCTTCCTCCTCACTGCTCGTCTTAAGAACAGGAGTCTCTTTGGACTGGGAAGAGACACCCTTTTCCCCTTTAGACACATTTAACGTTTGATTATTAAGGTTTACCTCCACTATGATCTGCTCCCTTTTGTAAGAGACCTCCTCCTCCTCCTCCTCCTCCGTGTCATCGGAGTTCTCCCGGGCTTCCTTGACAGCGTGCACGTCAGACGCTGCTCTTGCCTCCCTGAAATACGGCTGCTCCTCGCTCTCGTGGAGATGCGGCTTGCTCATCTTCGTGTCCACTAGCACAGAATAGGGACTTCCAGATTCCCTTTTGTACACTTTGGTGGACAGGTCAAGCTCTTGGTTGGCACCATGGTAAAAGGTGGATGGCACTTGACCGCGGCGGTTTTCTTCCTGTGCCATCCCTGCTACATGCACGGCACAGTTTTCAACCAGTTCCTGACCAGAACTGGCTGGGTGGCTCATTGGTAAGTGGCCCAATCTGTTAAGCAGTTCAGACTAGAGAAACAGATTTCAAACAGGGTAATAAGACTCAAATCTGTTCCCATCCACACAGAATGGCTCAAGTGACAAACAGATGTGGCCGGGACCTGTGTGCAATTCTTCCAGTGTCACAGCACCACAGCGTAAGTCAGAAAGGCCCGGTATTATGGCAAGAGCAGAGCACTGGGGACTTTCTTCAGAAGACAGCTGCGAGGGACTCGGAGCACCGTATCTACAAAGAGGAAGGAGGAAGACAAAGTCAGACAGCACCATTTCCTTCTTATGGCATGCACCTACCACCGGGGTACTTGGTCACAAGCTCAGCTTACATGCGGTGCACTACGCCGCCTCAAGGGCTTGGCCGGGCCGTTATTTTCCTGGCTTACATGAATTCACAAACACTTTCTGTTAAGATGAAAACCCTCTGACAATAAGTGCCACAGGACATCCTCAGGATGTCTCAGACACAGCGGCAGCACCCACTACATTTCTGATGAGAAATAAATACCTGGCGTTGCACGGCGTTCATCACCCTACATGCCACACTGAGGTGGCCAAACCTAAGGTCTCTGTCTCCAGTCTGGCTGCAGGACCTGTCCTGAGACACTCGGAGGCTCGTCTGGCTGGCCCCGCTTTCAGCACGGTGACCACAGCCCACCACAGCGAGGGCCCACGGAACGCAGGGGGTGGCGGCACAGCACCGCCCCATGGAAATAAAGCAGCAAACCGGCCTAACACCGAAGAGGATGCACATGGCCCTGGCCGCGGCTAATCTGCAAGCAGCGGGTGGGTGAGGACTGTTTTCAGGCTTATTAAAGTAACTTCAAAGTTGTCGAGTATTTTTGCATTTGTCGTATGCATATCTCACTGGACCCACTCAATAACTGGATGATTTTTCATGTGTCAGTTGCACGGAAGGCTAAATTCTGAGAAACAGTAACCATCACACTGATACGGTTCCAAGAAAAATAAAGCCATCCATTTAAAAAAAAAAAAAAAGATTAGAAGGGCACACACTTTGCTTTGAGACACACCTCGCTTGCTGAGGAGCCACCCCCCTCGCTGCTGACTCACGCGAGCACTCCTGCAAGCACAAAGCCTATCTCCAGACACCAGGAAGGAAACTGGTATTTACCGAATGCCTGCTGTGTGCACGCAACTGTGAAATCTTTTATTATTCATTATTTCTATTTAATCCTCACTATACAACTTCGGGGTTTATTTTTAAACTCTTTTTAAAATTAATCATTAAAAAAGCATCCCAAGTTTTACAAGTCAGATCCATTGGCCCTACTGCAACTGAGTCCCATTCCCCAGAGGTACGAACGCTGTTCTAGCTGTTTCGCCTAGTACTCACTTCTATCATCCTACATGCACGTATGTCTGTCTCGACTTGTTTCTTCCAATCCAGGTGTCGCGTCTGGGGTCACAGCACGGCCGTCTTAGACTGCTCCCAGCTCTCCCCTTACCCTCCCAACACAGTTATGTCAAACGTCTTAAAACTCAGTGCTTACTTAGATTACAATGACTATGCACGGTCCATACGTATTTCTCATCTCTTTGCGACTGTCATCTCTTCTATTTTCTCTCCATTTTGTTTGACCTCATGGGTTTATTTCTTGTTTAAAATCATTCTGCTTTCACTTTAGAGCCATTTCAGAAAGGAGCAGTGATGGAGGCCACTGTGTTTCCCTTGACATCTAAGTAGGTATGTGTGGGCCAGGGATATAGCTCAGTGGCACAGCGCCTGCCTGGCAAGAGTGAGGCTGTGAGTTCGATTCCCGGTACCAAAAACAAAACAAAACAACAAAAAAAACAGCTCTTCTAAAAAAAAAAAAAAAAAAAAAAAGATGTGTGTGCTTTTGTATTTTATAAAGGAGGAAATTATGGTTAGATTGTGCAGAAAGTGAGGCTTCTGGAGAGGCATACATACCACTGCGGCAAACACACGCCTTTGTTTTGGGAGGAAGAGGAGGAGCAGGAGGAGCGGAGGCGGGGAAGCCCAAGCAGGCACAGCTGTGTGAACAGCCCACTCTGCAGGGCCAGCTCGGCTGCTCCCCAGAGGGTTTCAGAACTTGCTGCAGACCGCTCTGTCCTCTTCCTGCCCCTTTCAAAGCCATGTTTATTGTTATTAGGTGGTCCCTACTCACTGTTGTACTGTTTATTATGCTGGGGGCAGTGGGTCATTTGTCAACTTCCCTCACAAGTCTCTGGAGTAGGAAGAGAATCATCTCCTCACAAGGAGCCCCCTGGGCACTGCCTCCTGCATAACCTGAGGTCCCAGGCTTTGAGCCTCAGGCTGTGATGGGCTAGGACAGTGAGTGCCTTATCTTCGGATGGAAGTGAGTGTGTTCTGCCTTCAAGGGAGAGCACAGCAAAGTGTGACAACCAAAAGATCGGGATGACGACAGTGACAACCAGGACAGATGGTGACAGATGCACAGGTAGCGCTGCGCTTCCCAGCTCCCTGACGTCACGTGGCCTACCTGACTAGTTGTGGCTAGCATGCCAGAAGCCAAGCGCGGATTTCTGACCTGCTGCATTTAATTGCTAATGTCCAACAATAACGCTAGTTCCATGCACCTGGATCACTAAACAGTGATAAAAGCTGCACTCCCTGCCAGTGATACCACTTGAGAAAGAAATCCTTCCTTGCTCAAGCCACTGAGACCTGGGAGTGGCAATGTTCCCATATAGCCCAGCCAATGGAGTCCTGTGTGTGTGTGTGTGTGTGTGTGTGTGTGTGTGTGTGTGTATGTGTGTGTGTGTGTTTGTGTGAATTCCTGGTACATATGCTAATGTCTTGGTCTCAATAAAATCACTACATAACATGTTCAAAATCAGAAATATAAAAAGCTGAATTCACAAAGGAATCCTTAATAAATTAGTTGATAATAATAAATACAATTATCCTTTAAAAAACTTATTAAAGAACTTTGTTCTACTTTTATCTGATGAGTGAGGGCATAGATGTATTCCCACAGGAACTTGAAAGTGACATCTCAACCCTGCTCACTTCAGAAAAACTCACAGAACCATCAAGAAGTTACCCATCACAGCGCAAGGTCTGGCCTAAGGGTTCACAAGCTTCCCTGGGCATCTTGCCCACATTTTAGTTTCTTGATTGATTTGGGCACCTTTTGCTTTGTTTGAGTTTTGTGATGATCTTCCCTTTTATCTTTCCAGAAAATAAATTTATTTATTTATTTACTTATTTATTTTTGTCTGAGACAGGGTCTCAGCAGGCAATACAGGCTGGCCTTGAGCTCACTTTATAGCCCAGGCTAGCCTTGAACTCACAATGATCCTCCTGCCTCAGTCTCTGAGTGCTGGAATGACAGGCGCGGGCCACCACACCTGGCTTTCCAGAAAATTTAAATATCTCCTAAGAAGACAATAAAATAATTCTACAAAACAAAAACTGTATTATGGATGTTAGGGCCTTCTGTCTTCCACTACCTAACACCCCATGTGCCAGTTCCAACTTGCTAGAGGTCAACTTCATTTAGTTTTTATAGGACTGTCTGGCGAATGCACTGAGCTCTAACACTTGAAGAGAGGAGCAGACAAAAAATAACCCTCCTGACACCTGGAGCTTCTCACTTTGTTAGAGGTGTTTACATTCATCTCTCCAGTGGTAATAAAACACGAGTTCATCTATTCTTACAAACCATTTCCTACTACATCATAATATAAACTCCACAATAAAGTGGGTCACACTATAGTGTCATCCTATAATTAATATATACAAATGGGGACAAAAAAGTGGTGTGTATTTTGGGGGCTGTGTAAATTGATTTTTTTTGTTGTTGTTGTTTTATTTTGGTATGGGAATTGAACTCAGGACCTTGCACTTGCCAGGCAGGCACTGTACCACTGAGCTACAGCCCCAGCTCAGTGGGATGTGTAAACTGAGAAGCAACAAGATTTGGTACTGTAAAAATTTGACCAACTGCTGGGAAAAAATACAGTTTTAAGAAAGACATATGCCAGATGTGGTGATACACACTGGTAATCTCAGTACTTGGGAGGCTGAAGCAAGAGGATTACAGCTGAGTTCAAGATCAGTTTGGACTACATAGTGAGGCCAAAGGAATACATGGCGAGATTGTATGTGTGTGTGTGTGTGTGTGTGTCTTTTTGAGATTAGGGTATCAATATGCAGTTCAGGATGGCCTTGAACTCACTTTGTAGCCTAGGATGGCTTCAAACTTGCAGTGATCTTCCTGCCTTAGTCTCCTGAATGCAGGGGTAACAGGTATGCACTTACCATACCTGCCTTATGGTGAGATCATGCCTCAAAAATAATAATAATAATGTATTACAAATACTAAGTATAGCTTCTAGAATGTGCTTTTTTTTTCAATGCTACTTTTTTTCTAAATGGTCTAAAAATAAGTTTACGATCTTCAAAGTGTTTAATTTTACCAGTGAAACATTTATTTTGTTTGATTTGTTTTGGAGACAGGGTCTTCTTGCTATGTAGTTCAGGCTGGCCTCAAACTTGCAGCAATACTCCTGCCTCAGCTGCCCAAGCGCTAGGATTACAGGCATGTGCCACCACACCTGGTGCAAACAGGGAAACAATTTTGTTCCCTATAAAGTTTTCCTAATTTTTTACAAATTCAACAGGTTTTCCTCCATTAAAGTAAGTGGCTAAGCGCCTTCCCGGTATT